GGAATTGGGGAGGGATAAATAGAGTCATAGAGAATTTTCAGGACAGTGAAAATACTGTTTATGATACTATTAGTATTAATATAATGCTGGATACATGACATTATACATTTTTTCAAACCAATAAAATCTACAAAACCAAGAGTGAACCCTTATGTAAACTATGGACTTTGGGTCATGATGTTGTGTCAGTGTAGGCTCATCAGTTGTAACAAATGCATCACTCAGGTGGGGGATGATCATAATGGGGGAGACTGAGTATACTGGGGGTAAGAGATATATAGTAAATTCCTTATCCCTTCTTTAAATTTTATCATGAACCTAAAATTGCTCTAAAAAAAAAGTCCAGTCTTTCTTGGCTGTGTAGTTCAGCAGTTGGATGTCAACCCATGAACCAAGAGGTCTCTGGTTTGATTCCTGGTCAGGGCACATGCCTGGGTTGCAAGCTCGATCCCCAGTGGAGGGGTGAGATTGGGTGTGTGTGTGCAGGAGGAGGCCCCATCCCTGTTTCTCTCACATTGATGTTTTTATCTCTCTATACTTCTTTTTTCTCTCTCTAAAATCAATAAAAATATATTTAGAATATAATAATAAAATCTTAAGAAAAAGAAATCTTAACAAATTTGACTTAAAAAATAGGAGCTAGTTTTGGCAATGATGCAAAGTAGAAGGAATAACCATTAGCCAAGATTTCCTGCAGTGAACTGTGGTGCAGGTTCCCCGGCCCCTTCCTGGGCAAGATACTCTGGATTTCTGTCTTTGATGGCTCCCCGTGCACTTGGAACTGATTCCAGCTCTGTTTCATGTCCATGAAGCTGATGGGGCCAGCTGGCTGCCACACCGTCTCACTGTCTTTGTGCATCCATGACCTCTATTGCGGATGGGCAAGGAGTGGGGCAGATGAGCAATGAGGAGAGACAGCAAGCCTCGCGGATGGTTTAGCCACTGGCGACAGCATTCCTGTCCATCTGCTGTTTGACAGAGCTGCTAGGGGTCCTGCTTCCAGTGGCGTCAGCCCTTTGGCAGCTGTGCACAGGGTCTTGGAAAGCACAAATTCTTTGCTAGTGCCTGGTAGTCCAGCCCCACTATACCCTTGAGCTTTTAACTCAACTCTCTCTCATGTATGCTCAGGTGACGTCAGAAAATTACCCTCATAGTGATGTTGACACTTTACTCAGACTTAATGCCTGGGACCTGATAATGGAGTCTTTTGTTCTTTGAAGAAAGTATAAAAATACTTTTTTTTTCTTCTCACCTGCTAGAGTACAAAACAAAATTTAAAATAGAAAGCAAGCTGGCAATGTTAGTTATGCCATTTGTATTCTGTCATGACTTTTAATTAAGGCAAAAATAATATTGAATCATTTATAGCACTTATTTAAGTTATGATGTTTGTGGATCTGTAATTGAAATAAACTAAATTGAAAGAGGAAAGTAATGATTATCATTTGTCTTTATTTTATTATACTTACTAAAGCTTTCCTCCCTTCTAAATTTGCTTTTTCAATTATAAAACATTTATTGAGTCGCCCCCTGCTAATGCATTGAAAATGAATTATTGCACTTGGGAGAAAAGCATCCCATTATTTTTCCTCTTTTCTTCGTTGCCAGAAATGTTAACTTGCTCTTTGAGAATGCATATTAAGGAGAAACACTATAACCGAAGGCATGATTAAAAATGCACCTCAGTACTTGAGCTCCAACCATTCACATAGAGGTTCCAGGTTGGATTCCCGGGCACAGGCCTGGGTTGTGTGCTCTGTCCCCAGTAGGGAGTGTGCAGGAGGCAGCCGATCCATGTATCTCTCTCATCAATGTTCCTATCTCTCTCAATGAATAAAAACACATAAAAAATAAAAATAAAAATGCACCTAATAATTTATGCATTTGATAAATACCAGTGTTAGAAAGTTCATGTTTTGTAACACTGGCATTGTGCCTGTGCCTTTTTTATAAAAACATCTTGGTTTTGTAACCAGAAGAACATTGTCACCTTTGATAGAGCAGCTTACCTTCACACGCCTGGTTTCCTCAGACTTTTCTTAGCTGTTGGGGTTCTAAAGAATCCATCTGTCCCATCTTCATCTGCTTTCACACTATACAGCCCTGCTGAGGAATTTCATAATTTCATCATTAGATGAACCCAAAAGAACATATGGGAACTTCCTTATTGACATGTCAGCCCACATCATTTTGTAAGTTTCAGAGTCATATATTAGCAGTCAGTCCAGTGAGTCTCTTCCTATGGGTAGCTGCTGAGATCTGAGATTGAACTCCTGCTTTGTTCCTCAGATTAACAACCTGCCTGCCTGGATATAGCTCTGATGCTTTACTCTTAACTTACTCATCACGTGATCTTGCCCACTTGCCATCTCTTAAATATGTTTTCATCCATCTTACATTTAACACTGCAGCACATATATTTATACAACACACACATATACACACTTGTAACCAAAACATAAGTATAACTTATACTTGAAACAAAAGTTTTGCAAAACTTTTACCAGAGGGGATGGTTTCTATTTGAAGAGTAGAAACAATGCTATTGCCACCCACTAAATTGATTTCATGAACTAGTTTGCACATTGTTGTGGCTTACTTGAAGTTGGGGACAGTTGTCATTGAGTTCTATCCTCAAAGTAGGACATGATATGTTTTACATGAAAGCCTTAGAAGAGAAGAAGTTTTTAATTATGTAAATAGGATGGTGAAAATAGGCAAATAAATTATTCAAAAGAAAGTATTGACATTTTTATATAGCATTGTTTCTTATAAAGGCAAGGAGGTTATGCAAAGAAAAACTTGAGTACTACACATGCATTTTCCTTAAATTTATTGTTATATAGTAATAAAAGCATTTATAACATTATTAATACATATAAAAACAGATGGCAGAGACATACATATATTACCCCAGAGTGGGACTACATGATAATTGGATTGAGCCCAGCAACCAATCTAAGCATTCCTTGAGAATAATTGAGGTAATCTTTTTATTTTTTTATTTATTTTTATTTTTATTATTATTATTATTTTTTTAAATCAATCTTTATTGTTCATATTATTACAAAGGTTCCTCATTTCTTCCCCCTTCCACCAGGTTTCCACCCCACCCTCCGCCCCCTCCCCATCCCCCATTGTCCTCATCCATAGGTGCACAGTTTATGTTGTTATGTTGTCTCTTCCTCCCCCCCCCCCCCCACCCCACCCCCCTCTTCACGCACATCCTCCCCAACAGTCAGTCCACTCCCCTCCCATATCACCGACACTACTACAATGAACCGCTATTATTGTTCATCAGGTTTTTCAATCTCCTTTTATTGTTGTTGTTGTTTTTTTAATTAATAAACTTTTACACTTCTAAGAATAAATTTTAAAATCTAATAATTTTAAACCTTGTTTTTTTTCTGCCCTAGGAATTGAGAGCAAACTTGTTTACATGTAAACTTGCCCTTAGGCTATCAAAAGGTGTAGCCATTCAAGTGTAAATGGACACATTGTTTAAACATAGCTGCTGGTTGGAATTGGATTACCTGTTCTGGGTGGGAAGGGCTTGTCATTCCCTTTCTCCATTAAAATTAAGGTGTTAGCTTTAAAACCTCTTTTTGGCAAGAGACCTTAAACTTTTAGAACTTTAAAATTTTCAGATAGTAAATCAGTTACTTAGCATTTTCTCAAATCAATAATATAATTGAGGTAATCTTTAATTAAAATCTTATCTTCAATTTTCTTAAAGAAGCATTCCAAATATTAGGAACTTTTCAGTAAAATGAAAAAAAGTGTCTTCAGTTTTCCACAAAGAGATCTAGGCTCTTCTCTTAGCAAAGATAATGACGTCAGGGTTTTGGAAGCCATGCTGGTTGGGTCCTGGGTACTGGTGGTGATGATGCTGATGCTGTTGTTGCTATGAAGACCTGAAATGAGGTTTGAGGCAAGAGCCATGGATTGAAGATACCTTGGGCCAAAGCCATGTGCTTAACTGTATCAGAGAGCAGGTTTATCTGCCTACAACTATCAGTTGATCATTAGTTTCGTGAACAGATAGGGGTGTTTCTTGCTTTTCTTGGGTTGTATACATGTAGGTCCAGAATGGGAGACAACTGGGTGTCACCAGTGGATGGTTATATTCAGGTGAAAGAGCTGTCAGCTTGGAAGTGATAAGATACTAGTAATGATTTAGTTCTGCCATCTTTACTATATAACATTACTCTTGTTTTTGAAGCATATTTTATTTATTTTTCTCTACTTTTGGCATGGTCTTACAGTTCACTAACACTCATCTCAGCTCTGCCTGTATTGCACAAATTTCCTCTTTACACATTACCTGTAATTAACATATCCCATGCATATGCCTTTATCTCACAAACTACCAGCTTACCTACATTGTACATTGATTCCTTTTTATGAGTTCATCCAACATGTTTGTGTATCTTTTCTTTAATCAGAATTAAATATTCTCAAACATATTCTCAAACCCATGTCCTTCAACACATGCAGGTATTATAGCCATATACTGTGTTATGCCCTCATGACCTAGTGCCTCCCTCCTGTCATATCTGCCTGCTTTCCATTTGCTAGGCTAATTTTCATTCACCCTTCTAGACCTAGTTCTTGCTTTTCTTCCCTAGAAGCATCTGTGATCTTACCAGTCTGGAATAGAAATCGAGAGACAATGCTTCTTTCTCTTCATCTGTCATAGTGTTCAATCATAGTTTACTGCAACTTTACACTTACTGTTTCATTCTCTCACATTATACTGGGAACAGCTTCAGGAAAAAATTTTGTCTATTGGTATTCTGAGTTATCCCAGGTTGAGATATTTCCACAGAGGTACATGAAGATACGGTGTAGATAACAAACAATATTTCTATAGTTTTACTTCTACCTTCAGGTGCAAACATTCTGATTCCACTTCAAAACTGTGCCTTTCCCCATCATATAAGAAATTCCCAAAGAGGTATCACATGTGCATCCATCGAGTAGTCTTCTTAGCCAGCCTAGGAGTGTGCTGTTACACTTCTGTTCTTCCTTCAACTCCTTATGTCATCTGCTACTGAGGACTCTAGTGCCTGAGAAATGAGAGGAAAATAGTTTGAAACATCCCTCTGCTGCAGGTGCTAGTTCTGAAATGGAGCTGCATCATCCCCAATATACTCCAATGTCCCAAAGACACTGTGTTCTCTCAAAGTTGCTGTAACATTGGTTTTCCTTGATGAGCTGTATGAAGCTCTTTGGGAAGAACTTCCTGCATCTTCGGGCATGTATTCTCTATATTTCATACTCTCTTCATGGGTACAATTCAATGCTTTTGAATTGCCAACAAAATACGGAAATTGTATACCATGCTAATACTTTTCCTTCATCAAAATTTTTTAGTGTGACCTCTGTGATACTGCCCTGTCATTTTTTTGGCTTTTTCTTTGTGAGGTCAGAGCTCATCTTCCAAATTTTTCTATAAAAAAATAGTTCATTTTTTTGCCTTGAGTTACCGATGTTGGCTCCCTATTCTAAGTTATAAGTTTTGCCATCTCATTTGAGTACTAATCAAATTCTTCTTATTATCTACTTTTCTGTGTGGGGGTGGGTGGGGAGGGCTTCCTATTTTCCAGCTTTCAGTAGCTTCCCCAATTTATCATTTTTATTGAAAGCGAGGTGCCTCCATTCATCTTTTGGTGATGGTCTCTCATAAATGTTGAAGAGATCTGAATACTATCACTTCAACATTTATGTTATAACAAGTGCAAGCTTTCTAGACTATACAGAAATCTTAATTTATGTATTTATTCTTTTTTATTTGCTAGCTTCAAATATCCTGCCTATGTTTTGGACATCTTGTTTGTCACTTTTAATAAGTAGTTGTTAATTGGTTGGCTAGTCTCAAAAGAGGATCGTTACATGTTTGGACCAGTGTGTATTCCTTAAGCAAATTCTTATCATTTCTTTCCCTCAATCATTGACCAAGCTCTTATCAAGTGCTCATTGTGAGCTAAAGTGCATTTAAAAATCATGTAGAGTTAGCGGTACCCAGGTGAGTTGAATACAGATGATGTCTGCCAGAGTACAAGCAGGATAGGAAGGGTCTCTGAAGAGAGTGGATTGCAGATATTCTTTTTGTGATGAACATTAAGTAATACATTTAACACTGCAACAAACATATTTATGCACCACTCACATATACACACTTATAACTGAAACATAAGTATAACTTATAACTGAAGCGAAAGCTTCACAAAACTTACCAGAGGAGATGGTCTCTATTTGAAGAGTAGAAACAATGCTGGTTGCAACCCATTAAACTGGCTTTAAGAACCATAGTTTTCACATTGTTGTGGCTAACTTGAAGTTGGGGACACTAGTCGTTGATTTCTATCCTCAAAGCGGGACATGGTATGTTTACATGAAAATCTTAGAAAAGAAGAAGTTTTTAATTATATAAATAGGGTGGTGAAAATAGGCAAATAAATTATTCAAAAGAAAGAATTGATATTTTTATACAGCACTGTTTCTTATAAAGGCAAAGAAGTTATGCAAAGAAAAACTTGAGTACTACATATGATGTTCTCTTGTTTAAATTTGTTACATAGTGATAAAAAGTATATATAAAATTATATATACATAGAAAACTGGATGACAAATATATGCATACACTATCACATAGTGGGGGTACATGGTTATTGGATTGAGCCAAGAACCAACTCCAAACATCCTCTGAAAATAATTGAGGTAATCTTTCATTAGAATCTTATTTTCAATCTTCTTAAAGGGAGCATTCCAAATATTAGGAGCTTTTCAGTAAAATGAAAAAAAAAAATGTAATCCCAGTTTACCACAGAGGGCTTAATTCATTCTCCTAGCAAAGGTAATGACCCCAGGATTTTGGACGCCTGTGTTCTTTTTTCTATTCAGGTGTTCACTCTGCCAAGTCTGTCTGTCTTACTTTGAAGTCAAATTGGTTTTCATGGTTCCTGCTGGCTCCCTGACTCTTACTGAATTTTGCCCTAGGAAAAATCTCCCAGTTCTCCTGCCCTCTCCCATTTGGCATTAGCACAAGCATCCCTTGTCATGCTTCCTCAGCTCCATTCTGAATCAAAGGGCAAATCCTGAGGGAGAGACCCTTAACAGGGTCTGCTCACAGAAGAATTGCAGTTGGGAGAAACACACAGTGGAGGTGTTGGCAGACAGAGTCTGTGTCTGAGGGAAGTGAAGAGGAGTCAGAGGCATGCATTGCTGAGCAGCTAAAGCCACCCACTCAGCCCAGCTTCAGCTAATGGGTGATAAATGAATGTGCCCTCAGGGAGCTTTCCTTGCTTTGCTGGCAGAGCTGTTTCCTCCATGTTGTGCCTGCTGCCCCCTAAGGCACCCACTGGGTTGGGACATGCCACAGAGACCCAGCATGATGCCCTTGGAGGAAGTGATCTGTGAGAGAAGAGTGTAAACTCCAAAGCTGGTGGCATATGTTGTGTAGTGTTCTAAACCACCACCTTTCTCACTTGTTTGTATATTGATGAGTGCAGTTTAGTACTTGGGTCTGCCTGTCTCCACCGATGAAGGAGACAGTGTCCTGATGAGATGTCTGATTTTTCTTCACTTTGTAGAGACGTAACCTTAATAGCTCTGTTGTGGGTTGAATTGTATCACCCACAATGTCCTGTTGAATCCTAGCACCTCTGAAGGAAACCTTGTTTAAAAATAGGGTCTTTGCAGATGTAATTATAATTGACCAGTGTCCTTATAGATGAACACACAGAGTAAAGACAGCCATGTGAAGACAGAGGCAGGGATTGGGGTAAGGCAGACCAAGGAACCTTAAGGATCTCAGCCTAAGAGGAAGGCAAGGACAGATTCCTCCCCAGATGGTGGCCCTGATGACACCTTGATTCTGTACTTGTGGTGTCCAGAGGTCAGAGGATGGTTTTCTGTTGGTTTAGTATCACCTAGATACTTGGTCAATTAAAAGCTTTAATTTTAAAGAACTGCCTTTTATTTGAAATTATAATATTGTGGCTAGATATTCAGCTTAAAAAATGTGTTACTTAAACACTGTTCAGCTACTAGTAAACTGCAGGCCCTCTAACACCCCTAGTGATGGTAATACATGTTAGCACGTGTTCTTTTCTTTAGGGCTTGGAAAAATTTTTAAATGTGCACCAAAATGTACTCTCTAGCAGAAACAATTAACCTTTTATTTGCTTTTCTTGAATTACTATAACTTGGAATTGAAACATCAGTTTTAGAGTATCAGGGTAAGAATACGGAAAAGATCCATCTATAAAAGAACAGTGTTTCAGTTTGCCCGAGGCAGTTCACCATATACTGGAACTTGAACAGCAGAACTTGGCGGGTATGTTCCCATGTTGCTGAGTTGCTATGGCAATATCAAACCAATGAATGGACCACCTCCCAGAGACAGGGAGGTGAGTAAGTGTGAAATTGATTCAGTTGTACATAGGAATATGCTCAAGCCAAATTTGTCAGGATAAAATTTCTGGCAGGAAACGGCATTTTAAATTACATAGACATGATGAATATGATACTAAATACCTACTTTGGTTATTCTAGTAGAACGGTGTTGAAAAATTAAGTGAGTTATGGAAATTTTATGCTTTTTATGTATGTTTTGCACTTATTTTAGGTAATACTGATTTTGTTTTCATCGTATTTAAATTTGGATATTTAAAGCAGAACTTTACATTTGAGATAGATATTTAGTAATGCACTCTTGATATTAAATTGCTTTTATTTGCTCATTTTAGATAAACATGCTTAGAGAAATGACTATTTAGGGAAACATAAACATTTGTAAATTTAAGTTTGCGTTGAATAGTGTAAAATACAACAAGTAGTATAAATCAGTCAAAACCAAACATGTTTTTCTATTTTAATACTTAAGAAGCCTATGATCAGGCTCTCTAAAAATAATTTATTCACATGACATTATTTGTTTTCAGGACTCATTTTTAGCATGCAATTATTATACAGTGTTACTCTATGTTCAAAGTATGTATTGAACTTGGTCAATGTCATCTTTTATGATGAATGGTTTATTTTGAATAATATGATAAAATTGATGTGATTTGCTTGATTTCTTTTCTTATAATACATATACTAGGCTTTGTCTATTTCAAAAGATTGTTGAAAACACTATAGGAAAGAGAAGGATCTATCTGTGACCTGGTAATTACTGAAATACCTCTAACATCTATTGCAGTTTATATTAACAAAATATATTTAATAGGCATGATCCATTTGAAATTAGAAAATATCGAATCTCAGGGGACCCTTATGTACTAAGAGCTGTCCACTTTCCCATTAGTTTGACTTGTAGGACAGAAGAGCATGACTTGTTTACATAACAGAAACCAATATTTGCTCTCTTTTATTCTGGTGGCATAGACTTCCAAGGACAACATTTGCCAGATCCTGGGCAGAGCCCTGCTGACAGTGCATTTCTTCTTGGGAGATAAAATAAAGCAATGCTGTCTGAGTAATTTTTTTTATTTATGACTTTCCACTGATTTTTACAGTGAAAGGTACAAATGTTTTAACTAAAACTGAAGTTATGTAGTATAGAATGTGTTCTGTTTTGTTTAATGACCTAAATTGTGATTATACATGGATATTTAGAGACTAGCACATTTATATGTTGCTGTAGATAAGATTGCTTTTTGTATTGAATCACACATGTATTCATTCCTATGTAGATGCTATTACTTGTTTCTTCTGTGCAAACCCATTTAGAGCTATGAACACACATATCTAAGGAAAAATACGTATTTAAAATACTAAGTAAGACATGTTTCTCAAGGAAGTAAATGCAATATATTCTCTAGCACAAAGCACTTTTAGAATAATGGTGTATGATTTTAATAATAAAATACCATTTATTTCTGGTATGAAGGGAATAAGACTTTACAAAACAGAATCTCAGTAGACAGGACAATATTCCTAAATTAAACCTCTCTATTAATGTATTTATAGCATTTCTGAATCTGGACTGTATTCTAGTTTACTTGATCAAGTAAGGTTTTTCATAGAAGATATCCAACTACTAGAGGACATAAGAAGAGGTAGAGAGTAGAAAAAGGGATTATTCATTGTAAAATTACTTTAGCAATGCACACAGGCACATCATTAGGGCAGGTTTTAAGGCTAGCATGGTGTCAGTGGATGTCATACCATGGCCATCCAGAAGGTCATTCAGACAATCGTCCTGCTCTTCAGTTGTTCAGTTAATTTGCATATTATACTTTTATTATTATAGATATGCTAAGGCTGCTCAACCACTCGCTATGACTTGTACTCACTACCAGGGGGCAGACACTCCAAGTGATAATGTTAGCTTGCTGCTGGGGTCCAGCCAATTGGGATTGAGTGGGGACATGTCCTAGAACCCTCCCGTTGTCTCTCCCCAGCTAGCCAATCTCCCTCGTCCCTCCCTGGCCCCAACTGCCCTCCCCTGCTGACCTCATGACCCCTAACTGCTCTTCCTGGCTGGCCTCATGGCCCCAAACTACCCTTCCCTGCTGGCCTGATAGCCCCAACCTCCTCTGCCTTGGCCCCCACCACTGTGATTTTGTCCAGAAGGATGTTGGACGGTAGGAAGATGTCTGGTCTCCCAGTCTAATTACCATATTACCCTTTTATTAGTATAGATTATATTGTTGCTGGGGCACTCTTGGCCTCAAATCTGGTTTACTGCACACTTGCATTTGTGTTCTACACCCTGTATGCTAATGTCTGACCATCAGACTGGTGGCTATGACATGCACTGACCAACAGGGGCCTGATGCTCAGCACAAGAGCTGCCTAGCTGCAGTGCTTGTCAGTAGTGGTTCTTGAGTGATACACTCTATATCCAGAGAGGAGGGAGCCTCTCGGGATGTCAGAAAGCCAGTTTCAGCCTGATTCCCGCAGGCCAGGCTGAGAGACTCCACCTGCCATTGAGATCCCTCTCACTCTACAGATGCCGGAAAGGGACCACTGGAGGTTGGTTCCAGGGTGTGTCTGGTTCATGGCACCAAGTCCCACACCACCAGCCACCTTTTAATTAATTTCATTTCAATGTGCACGAATTCGTGCACTGGTTCACTAGGATATATGTGTTTCTGGGTTAATACCTTCATCTTCTTTCATCCAGTCTCTCTGATAGCTGTCAGTTTGTTAATGTATCCATGCTTCTGTTTCTATTTTGTTCATTAGATTTCACATATAAGTGAGATCATATAGTTTTTGTCTCTCTCTGGTTGGCTTGTTACACTTACCTGCTGTCTCAAAAGGTAAGAAGCACACCAGCATAGTATCACACTGTGTACATGTACCACAGTTATTAATCAACTCATCTGATGAGCACTTGGGCTGTTTCCAGATCTTAACTATTGTAAATTGTGCTGCTATCAATATAGAGGTGCAGATATTCTTTCTGATTGGTGTTTCTGTCTTCTTAGGATATATTCTTAGAAGTGGGATCACTGGATCAAATGACAGTTCTATTTTTATTTTATTTTTTGAAATTTTTAGGAAACTCCACACTGGCTTTTTGTAGTGCTTATAACAGTCTGTATTCTCACCAACAGTATACTAGGGGTTCTTTTTCTCCACATCCTCCCCAGCACTGTTATTTATTGATTTATTGATGATAGTCATTCTGGCAGGTGTGAGGTGGTACCTTATTGTCATTTTAATTTGCATTTCTCCAATGATTAATGACATTGAGCATCTTTTCATATGTCTCTTGGCCATTTGTATATCCTCTTTGGAGAAGTGTCTGTTCAGGTGTTCTGCCATTTTTTAATTGTGTTGTTTGTCTTAGTATGGAATTAAAAAAATCTCATCTGAGGATATGTTTTTATTGATGAGAGAAAGAGAAAGAGAAAGAGAGAGAGAGAGAAAGAGAGAGAGAGAGAGAGAGAGAGAGAGAGAGAGAGAGAATGTGTGAGAGAAACAGATTTGTTGCCTCCTGACCAGGGATCCAATCCAGAAGCTAGATATGTGCCCTGACTGAGAACCTCAAACCTTTCAGTGTACAAGATGACACTCTAACCCACTGAGACACACCAGTCAGGCTTGTCTTTATTCTTGACCTTGATCTCAATTTGTTTCTGTTAAGTCTATTTCACATGAGACATTTGCATAGATACTGGAAGTATGAAGTGAAATAGACAAAATTTCTAAACTTGAGGATTTTTTAAGGAGAAGAAGGATATTTCAGCCAGGAGAGGCAGGTGATACCCCTTTCATACAAACCCAAGCCAGGGAATAAGGAAGACATTTAATTGGAACATTTTAATTCATAGTATATATATTAGGAAACAGTGCTAAGAGGACAGACAGCAGGACAATTGCCAAGCATTCTTGTGTACTGTTTTGGAGATGACTTCCATGTCATGTGAAGACTGAGTTGGGATTAAAGGGATTGGTCAAGTGAAAGATATGAGTGTGTGTGTGGTG